ATCTTGTTTCATTGTTTCTGTGGATATTTTCATGATCTTTGAACTTCCTTTAATGGTGCGGTGGATTTCTGAAATACCGGAGGACCAAGAATTAAACAAGAGGATTGTCGTCTGCGGCACAGAGTGACACAAAATGACACAGAGTGACACAGACGACAGGAAAGGGGGAGGCGAGTCAGGGAGGGTGGACGGGGGAGACGTGTAATTAATATTTATGAGAGGCGGGGAGGTGGTGGAGGAGCTCCTCTGTTTGTTTAGTCTGAAAGGAGCAGAAAAGAAGAGGCAGAAAGTTGTGGGAGGAGTAAAGTTTAAAAGTTGTAGTTTTTAATCAGCAGCTGGTGAGAAACATTTCACAACAACTGTTAGAAAAACTCAACTGTAGAAGTTCATCGTGATGTTTCTGTCCATAAAACACGTTAACTGTGAGGATATTTGACTTATTCTCCACCGCTGAAAGAAGGCAGAGCAACGATGTCTTTGCCTGTGTCTCTGTTAGCAAAATATCTCCTGAACCACTGGGCAGGTTTTAACAATACCAACACAAAAATGCTTCACGTGGTCTTTCAGCCTCTGACAGTCCGTCTCTGTCCACGTCCGTCCTCAGGTTCGTCCACCCCTCTGGCCTTCTCCTGGCACTGGTGGTACGTGGTGATGGCCATCGCCGGCGCCGTGGCCCTCGCCGTGCTCCTGGCTGTTTACGTGGCCAAGCTGCGGCGCAAAGAGACGCGCTTCGGGTACGTGAAGCTTGGTTTGTCCTCGCCGTGGGTGGAAGGGCGGGACGGTGCAGCCGAGCCAAACCACAGAACTGATGTTGTTCCAGACTCTGGACCTTTGGAGAAACTGAGTGAAAGGAACGCAGTCGTGTGTTTTGTTGGCACACGTTCTGGACTGACGGCTTGCTTCTGTTCCGTTCAGAGAAGCGTTTGAGCCCATGATGGAGAGAGGGGAGCTGGTGGTCCGGTACCGAGCCCGTCGCAGCTACAGCCGCAGGACAACCGAAGCAACATGTGAGTCCTTCTGGTCAAATACAAGAAACTGAACTTCTTTTAATTATCAAGTTTTTAGGTCACAACAAAGAAACTGGTTTTTACCAGGTTCTAAAACTACTGAGGTGATTTCTTTTTAAACGCCCGTCAAAAGGTGGACGTATTATGGTATAGTCTCTGTCCAACTGTCCAACTGTCCTTCTTCATGTCTGTAAACCTTTTCTTGTCCCGCTCATAACTTCTGATCCGCTCCAGATAATTTAACAAATCTTCATACACAAATGCATCATCACTCGACGGATTGTTGTTTCCATACACTCAGCTCTAAGGTCAAGGTCACAAATCAAGGTCAAGTAATGTACAAGGGCTTTGCTCGTCCAGACCATTGTTATAAATGGTTGTATACGGTCTGTTGACGGGCGTATGATGCGCCGCATGCGTTCCGGTTGTCGTTCCTGTGGCTTCACTGAAGCAGCCAGAGCGTGGAGCTGCACGCCTGAACCTGCCTGGAAAACTGTTACGCAGAGAAGATCACGCTTCCTGTCGGCCGGAGAGACTGGATCTGCCGGATCGTCGCCTCTCATGGCACATAGTGACAGCTCTGTTCCCCCGCGGTCGGAGGCAGAAAACACTTCCTGAGCTCGTTCGGCGGATCAAAGAGCCGAGCGCGACTTCAGTCCCTGCAGCTGTGATGACACAACGCGAGTGTTCAGTGAGCGCACGCTGTTTTATAAAACCACAGCTTTAAACTGAAAATAAATCCCCTCAGGAAGTTTTGCTCCGTGCACTCAGGTGTAGACCACGAGTCCCTCAGCGGCTCTGAGCGCAGCGAGGAGCTCAGGTGTCAGCAGCCGGTCCAGGTGAGCCGTGACCTTCTGTCGGAGGTTTCTGTGCCGTCACCCGCCATGCTGCGAGATGACTGACAGAGTGCAGGCTCGGGTGTCTCACAGCTGGGTCGCAGTCAAGTCCTGACTTTGTCTCTGGTGTGCACGTCGTGTTTGTCCTCACGCACGAGTCTCAGCCTGCCAGATCCACGAAGAGGCCACGAGAACAGAAGAACTGGAGGAAACCGAGCAACATTTCAGGAAGTGAAATATGACATGTTCTCTGACTCGATGAGACGGATTCGGTGGGATTTCCTCCTCTGATGCCGACCGGACGTTTTCAGGACCATCTGAGCCCCTCGGGCGCCGTCATGTTGCAACACGCCTGTGAACCGAGCATTTTTGTCCGGCATGTGGCAGACTAATGGTGAAACAGCTGGAGGGGGAGGGGGTGTCCTGTCACATCCAGGCCGAGATGTGGAAACAGCTCACGTCCTCAGGGCGGTCTGCCTGCTTACCCTGCAGGGCACCTTAAACCCCGTTACCTGGTCTCTGGTCACACCTGGAGGTGGCATCCGTCCTGGGTGGGTCTGGATCGCTCCGAGTACAGGTGTGTTTACACGTCGCAGTTTAAACCTTGGCCGATCGTGCACACGACAACAACCGGTCGTTCTCTCAGGGTTTCTGAACCCGGGTCTGAGTGGAGGTTTCCCGTGGAGGTGTACTCTGCAGATGTGAAGTCACACGTGCACGACAGGCGGCTGCAGTCAAAAGTGTTTCTGCACGAGCAACAGTTGCAATAAATGACAGAGATGGGTGATTCTTAGGAGCAAAACCAACAACACCCTCGGTCCAAAGGAACGCTCTTGTATTCACCAGGTTGGACGTAACTGTGATCCCATGCACGATGCATGAAGCTGAGCACAGCATCAGGGTTGCCAGATAAACATAAATACTTTTTTTTACTCCCTTCTTTTCTGTGCATGTTCACCAAACATAACACACACCTCATCTGGCAACACCTCACTCAGCACAAGTGACAGTTTGGATCAAAATACAGTCATTTTAAAGTGAACATACAATAGTTCATCATTTCTTATCTGGCAACCTTGCAACTACAGCACTTCAATGTAAACTACTCTTTTGTTGTTTGTTCGTACTAATGAACAATGACAAATGTCCAGAGGTTGTTCTCATGGAAACGGGGCCTCAGAGATGATCTGGGTGCAGTTTACTGCGTTTGATTCGTAGTCTGAACCCAGTCCATCTAGAACCAAAGTCTAGGACCTCCTACTGGACTGATGCGGCCCCACCAGGACGCCTCAGGGCTGGTTTCAGCTGCTGGCTGATTTAACATAAACAGCAACTCTTAGGAAGGATCTGAAAGTACCAATTTGTTTGCTCAGCCAAAAGTTTCATGAAACTGTTTTCAGAGTTCAGCAATGCTCAGTCAGGTCATCTGGACGGTTTATTTTGTTGCTGAGACGTTTCGTCCTGAATGAGCATGAACTTTGGTGTTTTGAACCACTTTGGTATGGCTGCCTGTAGAGGAGTTGATGGGGGAGAGGGAGGCCCCGGAGGCCATCTTATCATCATCAAGCTGTTTTTTTTCCACTCTGGGAGTGAGACGTTTGTGTGATTCAGTTTGTTTGGTGGCTCCTCAGACTGAAGAAGTCCTTCGGATGAAGGCCGAAACGTCGCAGCAACAAAAGGAACCGTCCACATGACCTGACTGAGCGTTGTTGTACCTGGATTAATGAGCATGAAATTTGGTGTTTTCAGAGTTGTTCTCAAGTTACATGTCCTCAGGAACCAGGTCCAAAAACTCCAGGAACCAGGTCCAAAAACCCCAGGTACCAGATAAAAAAACCCAGGTACCAGGTCCAAAAACCCCAGGAACCAGGTCCAAAAACCCCAGGGACCAGGACCAAAAAC